AAGAGCAGTATTTGCTCTTATTCACTGAGCCATCTTTCAGCTCCAACCTTGTTTTTTTGTTTTAACTTCCAACACATCAGGTAGTTCTTCACAAGGCTCTGACAATGGGACATCCTCCACTTGTGTTCTGCAGGGCCACAATGACCAAGTCTTCTCACAGGAACATTTTGGAAATGCACTGATCCTTGTTGACCAGATTGGAGCACTTGCCCTGTTTTTTCCTTACTCGCCTGGCTAATTCTTGCTCACCCTTGAAACTTTTTCACGATGGCACTTTTTCAGCAACTGCAACTAGACAACAATGTCTGTCAATCCCAGCTGTGTCCATCTGGTTCATCTAGTACACCCTGTACGCTGTGTTCCAGAAGCATAAGCACTCCAGATGTGTGGAGGGACCAAGCAGAACTTGGTCTTAGCCTTCGGGAAAAGGGTGTTCCATACTGAATTCGTTACCTCTGCAAATTGCAAAGGCAGGAAATGTCCTGTGCAAGGCAAGGGTCCTTAGGCTCCTTTGCTTTCAAGGTTTCAGAATGACCCATGATTCCATGGGGGAGGTGAACAAGCTATGTGATCTCACAGGATCCCTGCCAACCCAAGACAAGATAATAACATTAAGAAGCAGACTTGAGGCAAACAAGAAGAGGGTAGTTCAGCTAGACGTCTTTTCTGTGCCTTTTCCCCTGGGGACCTCACAAGTCCCTGGAGATATCGATCTATGGCTGGAGACTGTCCATCCACAAATGATGTAATAGCATTCCCAGAGGTTCAAAAGTCCAAGCATAGTACAGGCTTTCTCAGAAGGAGGGAACATTTTATCAAAGATCAGGCGTAGTATTTTTCACTGGACTCTCCATTCTGGTCTGCTGCCAAATGTTATTAAGGTTATTTGAATTGATTTTTAAGATTATTCCTCCCTACCCCACACCATTACTCCACCCTAAGTACTTTCCAAGCAATGTAACATATAGCAAAGTGCCACAAATGCAGATTTAAAAGTTAGGAAATATTGAGCTAAACACATAGAACTGACAAGCTACACACACACACACACACACACACACACACACACACACACACACACAAATATATATGTTTTAAAATTAAAGCCTTAAATAGAAATTTAGAAGATCATATAAAGACAAATGTGTAAAAGTAATCCTCATTGATGGAATCAATGTCCTGGTCTGAAAATGGTGTGAGCGCTGTTCACACCGTTGTGTTGTAAGTCAAGCACCATTTGCTCTGCTACACTTGTAGACAGAGCAGCAGTTCCCAAGGTATGGTTCCTGAACCTACAGGGCCTGTACCATCTGACACTTGGAAATACAGATTCCTGGGCTCTGCCTCAAAGTGATTGGTTCAGCAGCTCTGGGTTGGAGCCAGCTAGTTTTAACAAGCTCTCCAGATGGGTCTAATCCATACAACTCCTAAACATCACTGAAAAAGAGGACCTCAGGTGACAAGAGGCAGGAAACAGCAGAGCAACAATTCCACGTGGAAATGGTGAGCTTGCTCCAGGAAACAAAGCTATAGCTAAAATACAAAATAAGTGGAATTTACAACACTGGACCCTAGACTTGGAAGAAGGACCACTAAAAGAAAAAGGTGTGGCCAGCCAGCACTATGAAAACCTCAACTTGGGGGAATAACTAGAGGAAAATGTCCTCACCAGCTGATAATCTTGGCCTGAACTGTCACTGGCTCTTAGAGTTTCCCTCAAGAAGAACCTGGTAGAGCCCTTGCCTAGCATGTGCAAGCCCTTGAGTTTGATCCATACAACTAAGGAAGAGGAAGGGGAGAAAGGGGGCGGAACTCTGAGAGGTCCTAGTCACAGTTAAATTTCTGTTGCTATAATAGGATACCTGAGACTCACTGGTTTATAGAGAGTCAAAATTTATCTAGCTTGTGATTCTATAATCTGGGAAACTCTGGCAAGGGATATCACCACCTATTCTAAACTATATAATGCATTTGCAGTTACATGTGGGATAGTTGTATAATGTTAAGTAGAATTATGATCTGGTTATTGTTTTCATTTGAAAATTAAGTATGATGTAAGGAGAGGTGATTATGTGTCAAACTGTCAAGATGTGGATTTATGGTGGATAATCTTGGTTATCAACCTGATTATACCTGTAATCACCTAGAATCCAAACAACTAAGCATACCTGGGAGGAGTTTTCTTGGCTGCATCATCTGAACTATACCTTCTGGTGGCAGCCCACACAAAAGGACTTGGAAGAAGAAAGCTTTTGCTTGTTTGTCTGTTTACCCTCACTCTGACTGGCAAGTTCGTCTCTTCTGCTCCTGAGGCTTTCCTTTGCTGGTAGTAGAACCCAGTTCTTCATGATTCCAATGTAGACTAAAGGCCTACAGCTTTCCAGGGCTTCCCTGGGACTCCAGCACCAGAATGGGATGCTGAGACATCAAGTCTTCATGGACTGAACAACTACCTTTCCGTCAGGAGATAGCCATTGATGACTACATTATAATTATTGCTAACATGTTCTCCATTTTAAAGCCTCTTGAGTGATAAGTCCTAAATGTTTCGTTTCTGTGTGAGAAGAGTTGAAAGAATCCCAGTGGAGAATACTGCAAGCCTTAGAAGATGTGAAATGGCTTGCTGCTAACAATACCCCAGTCTGAAAACAACAGAGAAAGCAGTGGCCCTGAAAAAAAAAAAACAATAGGCAGATTCACAGTCAAGCCATCTCAAATTAAAATCAATTGAACTTAGGTAAAAAATGTTCTAAAAGAAAGTTGGGCAAGCACTGTGCAACCAGAGACCAGGGAACAAAGAGGAAAGAAAGTACAAGATAGGGCTAGAGCAATGGCTCAGCACGTATCAGCACTTGATGCTCTTGGAGAGGACCCTGGTTCAATTCCCAGCATCCATGCAGTGACTCACAACCATCTCTAACTCTAGATTCCATGTTTCAAGTGATTCAACACCCTCTTCTGACCTTGTCGGGCACAATGCACACATGTACACATACAAATATTCAGGTAAAACACTTAAACACAGAAAATGCAAATGAATAAATCTAAAAAGAAAAACAGTACAAGAAATCAACCATATGGGGGTGGAGAAATGGCTCGGTGAATAAGAACACTGGTTGCTTGTCCATAGGACCTAGGTTTGATCCCCAGCACCCACATAGTGGCTAAGAACAATCTGCAGCTGCAGTTCTAGGGGATCTGACACCCTCTCTGGACTCCCTGGGCACTAAGGATACACATGGTTCACATAAATTCAGGCAAAATACTTATATACATAAAATACTTTCTTGGAGACAGGGTCTCTATATATAGTCCTGGCTGTCCTGGAGCTTTGTTGTGTAGACCAGGCTGACCTTGAACTCAGAGTTCCTCCTTCTGTTGCCTCCCAAGTGCTGGGATAAAAAAGAAGTCTAATACAAGTATGAAATTCCCAACTAGAAATAGTCAACTTTTTAGACCCTCCATTTGTTTCTAGGACCTCAGATGTCACCTTCTAAAACACATCATCCCTGTGCTCCCACCACAACCGGTTTCAGCAGGAACTTTGCAGTGTGGGTCCAATTCTAGCTATCCTGAGAGTAGACCCATCTGAAGCAGTCTGTCCTTGGAACAATTCATCTTGTTCCTAGTTCCTTCTGGAAATGTGATGATAATCAGAGTAGCTGACTAGATAGAGAGAAACAACCTGAACTAAATTGCAGGAGGTCTGACTCCAGCTTGTTATTGAAGAAAAGTGTTTATCCATCATTCTTTCATTTGTTTTAGACAAGGTTTTGCTATGTAGCACTAGCTGGCCTTGAACCTACTATGTAGACTAGATTGGCCTCAAATTCACAGAGCTCTGCCTGCCTTTGCCTCTGGGGTGCTGGGATTAAAAGTGTGCACCTCCATACCAAATCTACGCATTATTCTTTTAACATGTATCTGAGCATCAAGTATTTCCAGGTACTGTACTGGGATCAGGAATAAAATGTTGAACAAAGTAGTCATGGCTTCTACCCTCACATAGCTCAGACTGCAGATGGTAGGACATACACTAATTATAGAACATCACCATCCTAAATGCAAACTGTCAAGGAAGGGATAGATTACAGAACCCCAGGTCTCAGGCTACTAGCTAAGCAAATACAGACTTTTCTGGCAGGTAACATGGCAGTCAGCAAGGGAGGATGGTGGCAGGTACGTCACTGAGAGTGTGGTGGTTCACTGTGAAGAAGGAGGGGCCGTGGTGAGTAGCCGTGGGGAATCATCAAAGGGGAAGACATTTAGAATGGCACATTCTGACAAAACCTTATAGGCTTCTTAGGCATTGGGGTTTTACTGTCAGAGTAGCAGGCTGCCATGGCTAACAATCATGCTGGTAAAGTTGTTAAGGATGTGTGGCTAACAATCATGCTGGTAAAGATGTTAAGCATGTGTGGCTAACAATCATGCTGGTAAAGATGTTAAGGATGTGTGGCTAACAATCATGCTGGTAAAGTTGTTAAGGATGTGTGGCTAACAATCATGCTGGTAAAGATGTTAAGGATGTGTGGCTAACAATCATGCTGGTAAAGTTGTTAAGCATGTGTGGCTAACAATCATGCTGGTTGCTGGCACTGGGACACAGGGACTCCAATCTGGAGACTCTTGCTATTGATCAAAATCAACCATGTGACATCCTTCAAACAATCTTGACCCAGAATGAAGAAAGATGAATAGCTTTGAGAGGTATCATAAGCTTAGAGAGAGACAGGTGATGGAGGGTAAACTACAGGGTTTGTTGAATACTTTTGGGTATCTAGTCGCGCTGAATGGCTGGCATTTAAAGGAAACTCCTAGAAGATTTTAGATGATGGGCGGCCTTTCTCATAACACCCATGTGCTTGGGCCTGGAATCTATCCTATGGGCCCCAGAAGGAGCTCAACCCTAGCTGCAAAGCTGTTTCTTGTGCTGCTATGAAGACACCCATGAAGAAACCCAGCCTTCTCATCTCTCTCCCCTCTCATGCACCTTCTAGGTACCACATGCCCAACCCCCATATCTGTTGAACATGCAAACATCCAGGTCAAGAATTACAGCGTGAACTCCAGGGAGAGGTATGTCTGTAATTCTGGTTTCAAACGGAAAGCTGGCACATCCTCACTGACCGAGTGTGTGATTAACAAGAACACAAATACTGCCCACTGGACAACTCCTAACCTCAAATGCATCAGTAAGTACTAGTCCCCACACTGGCTCCCTGCCTCCTGCCGAGGCTGAACAGAGAGGAGAGCTGAAGAGTGGGAGTTGTGGGAGCCAAAGAAATCTGTGTGGAGATCTGTACGTGAAGCAAACCCCCCAGTGTAGGAATACATGGGCAGTGGGGTCTGTCACCCAATCTAAGCTCACACCCTAGCTCTGCCACTTATCCATGTTGTGTCCTTGGGCAAATCTCTTAGCTTCTTGGAACTCTGCTTGGAGACCCAGAAAATGAACCTGATGTCAACAATGGTTTGTAGTGTTAAGTGGAACCTGATAAAGGTTAACTATTATGACTGTCAGTATTTGTTTTAGCATGATAGTCACCAGAGGATTGGCTATGGTCTAGGGTGTGTGCTCAAGTTGCCCAGAGAGCTTTTCGGATCTCTCACAAGGCAGAGGGCTTCAGGAAAACCCACACTGTTCTTGTTTGCCAGAACCCAGGAGGTTGGCTTAACCTAACCAACAGAATATTCCTGGCTTACCCAGCAGTGTCCAGGTGTGCTCAAGAACAAACACAAAGATTGTATGAATCAACTTTTAAAAAACTCACCCACAGTTGGATGAAGGCCAACATTCTAGGGGTAGAAGCCACTTACTTGGTGGTGCTTCCAGGAATGCTAATCCCCATTCTGCTCCTTAGAAAAATAAAAAGTGGCCCATCATCTTCCAGGAGAGTACTGCTCCAACAGTCACCCACTGTATATCCAGTACATGGCTAGCAGCACTGAGAGCAGGATCATTCAGGACTTAAGTAGAAATGCCCAGCTCCATCTTCTGTGAACTCCTGGAAGAGTCAGATAGCCTTCATCCCACCCCCACCACACACACACACACACACACACACACACACACACACACACATCACATATAAACACGGCTTCAGCTTGAGAGTTTAGCAGATGGAAGGGAAGGAGGGAGTTTTCATACCTGATCCCTGTTTACCTGCATAGCCTTTGAAGGACCATACAAGCTGGGGGTCTAGCCTTCAAAACATGATCCTGGGGGTTACATTTCAGATCCAAACCATAATGCTCAGGTTTCCTCAAACCCCTACATCTTTTGGTGAAGGAATCCTGGATGAACAGTCACTCTGAATAGGGGAAAGAGGATAAGGAGGAAATAAAGAAGTTGCAATTAGAATATCTTAAAATTAAATTTATTTATTTAATTTATTTGGGGAGAGAGCATCCCAGTGTGTGTGTGGGTCAAATCTTCAGCAGTTGTTTCTCTCCTGCCATATTGGGCCCAGGGATTTGATCTTCAGGCTTGATGGCAGTATGTTAACCCACCACGTACTCAACTGCTTTTACTTTTCTCTATTTCCAGCCTTCCTTCAGACTGATTTTTTTGTCTCTATTTCAGCTTTCAACCCTTGCACTGTTTGAATCGTTTCTTGCAATTTTTGCTTTGTCTTTTCCTGTCTTTCTTGCATTTGTTGGATTTTTTGGTTTGTCTTTTCTTCCATTTCTTGCAATTTTTGGTTTGTTTTTTCTTCTATTTCTTGCATTTTTTGTTTGTTTTTTCTTCCATTTCTTGCATTTTTTGTTTGTTTTTTCTTCCATTTCCTTAAGGAATTTTCTAATATCCTCTATGAGGGCCTCTATCATTTTCATGAAGTTGTTTTTAAGGTCTTTCTTAACTGCTTCATCTGCAATGGGCTGTTCAGGTCATGTGGGTGTACAGTCTCTAGACTCTGGCAGTGTCATATTGGTTTTCTTGTTGCTGGGTGTGTTTTTATATTATCTCCTTCCCATCGTTTTCTTCCTGTGGGTGCAGAAGGAGTCTCTTCCTCTCCTGGTGGGTATGTGACCACGGCTCCTTTCCAGTGGGTGGGAGCAGGTCCAATAACCTGGTGGCTTTCCTCTTGTGTGAATGGAGGCCGTCCTAGTATCACGGCCTTGGCAATCTCTGGGTAGGCTGTCCTGTGGGTGGAGAATGGGACTTGGATGCTGGCAGTCTCTGGATGGGCTGGCTCCTGCTGGGATGGGAGCTGCAGTGTGCAGTACCCTGGCCTCAGCTAGATGTGCACAGATCACTGGAAGGCGGGCTGTAAACAGGCCCAGACCTATCCGGCCCGTGGGTGGAGAAAGGGACTATGGTGCTGGCAGTCTCTGGGCGGGCTGAATCCCGCTGGGCTGGGATCCGGATCCGCTAGGCAGGCTGGAGACAGTCCCACGCTTACCTCGCCTGTCCCATGGTGGAGAATGGGACTTGGAAGCTGGCAGTCTCTGGATGGGTTGAATCCCAAAGGGCTGGGATCTGCCTTCCACAGTCCTCGGGTCTCCGGAAGTTAGGTTCACCGGCCTGTCCCGTGGGTGGAGAATGGGACTTGGACGCTGGCAGTCTCTGGGCGGACTGGCTCCTGCTGGGATGGGAGCTGCAGTGTGCAGTACCCTGTCCTCGGCTAGTTGTGCACAGATCACCGGAAGGTGGGCTGTAAACAGGCCCAGGCCTATCTAGCCCCATGAGTGGAAAAAGGGACTATGGTGCTGGCAGTCTCGGGAGGGCTAAATCCTGTCAGGCTGGGAACCGCTGTGCATGTGCAGTCCTCTGGTCTTGCGCAGTCCTCAGGTCTGCGGTGGTTCTGCTCAGGGCTCACCTTGCCTGTCCTGTGGGTGGAGAATGGGACTTGGAAGCTGGCGGTCTCTGGGCAGGCTGAATCCCATTGGGCTGGGATCCGCCATGTGCAGTCCTCAGGTCTCGGTCTGTTTTTTTCTTTTTTGAGATATGTGTGTGCACTTATGTTTATGTGTTATATTTGTATACACACACATGTGGGCATATGGTGTACATTCACATATGTGCCCATGCTTGTGAAGACTGGCAGTCTATCTTAGGATGTCCACCTCTGTCACTCTCTACCTTACTTTTGAGACGGTGTCTCTCACTGAACCCAACACTCGCTGATTGACTTGTTGCTGACTAGTGAGCTTTGCAAAGCTGCCTGTCCCCATTCCCTCCCAACAGCACTAGGGTTGCAGATCTGTGCCGTAATGGGGATCAGAACTCAGATCCTTATGCTTTTATGACAGGCACTATACTGACAGCCGTTTTTCTGGCCTAAATTTCAGAACCTAAAGGCTGGAGGAATCTTTAAGTCTCATCTGGTGCAAAGGTTTTGATCTTTCGTCATTTACTGCCAACAATCCCCTTTGTTTTCCAATGCCTGTGCACTGAGTGATAGTCTCCTATGTAAGTGGAGTCTGTTGAGTGATATTTAGTTTTTCCCAAGAAAAACTAGAATGATAAAATTGAGTTGATTTCACACACATCATTCCACACAAAAACTTTTGATGTCTGACTAGACATACTAGAAAGGCAGTTTACAGTCTGTGCATTTGAGTTGGGAAATTGATGTTCATTTCCTGTGCTTCTAGTCCTGTCCCTGGAAGGCAGAATTGGATGTGCACAGATGCATTGATCGTTTTTCTTTATAGCTAGTTCTGAAACTGCCCCAGACTCTGCCCTCAAAATCATAAATGCCATGTGACTGTCCTCTCTCTAGGAGACCCCTCCCTGGCTCACCAGAGTCCAGTGTTACCTTCCACAGTAGTGACGACAAAGGTGACCCCACAGCCAGAGAGCCCCTCCTCCCCTCCTGAAAAAGGTAGGAATGCTGGGAAAATGTGAAGAATTGCCATCTAGGATCCATTCCCCTATCATAGATACCATGGCCCACTGCTGAGGATCTCTGCAAACCTAGGCAGCAAAACTTTATGTTGATGGCAAGATTCAGAACTTATAGTGGTTTAGCTTTTTAAAGGTTATTTGATATCCAGAGTTAACATAATTTATAGTGGCTTAAAATCTACTATTAACGTATTGGACCATAATTAGCTGTAAACACTCACCCTTATCAAGAACTGAAAAGTCCCTGTCATTTGATCCCACTTGTTTTTGTTTGGTTGGTTTTGGGTTTGGTTTTTTTTTTGTTGTTTTGTTTTGTTTTGTGTTTTTTTTTTTGAGACAGGGTTCCTCTGTGTAAACTTGGCTGTCCAGGAACTCACTCTGTAGACAAGGCTGTCCTGGAACTCAGAGATCTGCCTGCCTCTGCCTCTCGAGCACTGGGATTAAAGGCGTGTGCCACCACCACCTGGCTCTCACTTGTTTCTTGTATCAGCATTATTAAAGAGCTTTCCCATATGGCACAGGGAAGCAGGAGCATAAATTCATCATCTCTCAGGCGTGCAGGGGCAGCAGGATAAGCCAGAATACATCCCTGTATGTGTAGCAAGCTGCACTGGGTCAGGGAAGCCTGGGCTCATAGAAGCTGAGTGTCTGATAATTGGCAATAAGCATGCCTGTTCTTTGTTCCAGAGATAGATACTGTCTCTGTCTTCCAAAGCACTTGCTACTATTCATGTCCTTGGCAAGATAGTCCAAAGAAAGGGCATGGATGGGGCTCTTTCCAAAATGTGAAACAGTGTGAGGGATTCATTGCAGACTTGTTTTTTGCGGTGGGGGAGGGGTGGGTGGAGGCAGGTCTCACTATGTAGCTCTGACTCTCCTGGAATTCATTTTATAGACCATGGTGGCTTCAAGATCATAGGGCCATGCCTACCTCTGCCTCTTGAGTGTAGTAGTAGTACTACTACTCTTGAATAGTAGAGTGCCACTGTGCCCAGCTTCCCAATCTTCACCACTAACAATTTAATTTGAATGTTTGTTCTAGTTTCTTTTGTGTTACTGAGTTAAAATATCCCAACAAAAAGCAACTTAGGGGAGAAAGGGTTTGTTTCACCTTATATTTTCAGGTTATAACCATCACTGGAAAAGTCACAGTGGTAGAAGCTTGAAGCAGCCAGTCACATGACATCCACAACCAAGAGCAGAGAGACAGGAATGCATGTGTGTTCACTTGCATGTGCTAAGTTCAACTTCTCCACTCTTAAGACAGTGCAGGATAGGGGCTGGAGAGATGGCTCAGAGGTTAAGAGCACTGACTGCTCTTCCAGAGGTCATGAGTTCAATTCCCAGCAACCACATGGTGGCTCACAACCATCTGTAATGAGACCTGGTGCCCTCTGCTGGTGTGTAGACGTACATGGGGGCAGGGTGTTGTGTTCATAATAAATAAATAAATCTTAAAAAAAAAAAAGACAGTGCAGGATGGGCTGGAGAGATGGCTCAGAGGTTAAGAGCACTGCATGTTCTTCCAGAGGTCCCAGCAACCACATGGTGATTCACAACCATCTATAATGAGGTCTGATGCCTTCTCCTGGGGTACATGCATGTACACATATAAAAAACTGTATGCATAATAAATAAATAATAAAAAAAGACAGCGCAGGAGACCCTGCCTACGGAATGGTACCACCCACAGTGGGATGAGTCTTGCCAAATCAATAATCAAGACAATCCCCTACAGACATGCTCACTGGCCAAACCCGTGTAGACAATTCTTCATTGAGATCCCCTTCCCTTGTGTCAAGTTAAAGCTAACCACCATAACATAATAATACAGAAATATTGCACAAAGTTCACCCCTCTCTCCATCCGTGCCTTCCTTCTTTTCTTCCTTCCTTTTTGCTAGGGTCTCTCTATGTATCCTTGGCTGGCCTCAAACTCACAGGCATCCTACCTCAGCCTCCAGAGTCCTCAGATTATAGGCATGTGCCACTGAACCCAGCACAATGTTTTGTACCTCATTTGGGTTTTATGTAATCTAGCTCAATGCCCGCAACATCTGTCTCATTGTTAAGAACATTTTAAAGCTATGCTCTCCACCCTACGATGTTCTCATTTTCTATTAAGTTTTAGTGTCACATCATCCAGCTTGTGGTTTCCCCTTGTTTCCTTCTTCCACTCCCAATTATGGGAACCTCTGCAATAATTCTCAATTGCTCAACTGGTCACAGCTTCCAGTGTGCTGGGTCTCTATCTTCAATACACAGGGAACTCGCTGGAGAACTCCAGTTGGTCTTGGGAAAGCTCTGAGAATCAACAGCTTTGGACACTTCCTCGATGGTCCTTGCACATCCCGGGATGAGAACTTCTCTTCTAAGGAGGATAGAGAGGTTTCTGAATTTCATGTCATTGCATAGCATAGAAGGCTCCAGCTCAAAAAAATTAATAAAATAGGGCTGGGGCTGTAGCTCATCAGTAGAATACTTGCCTAGCATGCAAAAGACTCTACGTTCAATTCCCAGTGCTATTAGGAAAACAAAATAATAAAAACAAAAAGGAGGGTCTCTTCTGGTGAGTAGGTTGCATGTAAACAGAAGAAAGTGGTAGGTACGTGACCCATTTAAGACAGAAGTGATTCCCAAGCTCCTTTGGTATGATGCATCATACACACAGTGTTTACTCAAGAGATAAGAGTGACCAACTAGTCTCTCTCAGCCTTGCCTCTGTGTCCCAAATGCTTGGTCAGATGTTCCTCATTGAGACAAGAATGTGCAGACACAGCCTTGGACACTAACTGGTATGATCATGAGTGCTTGGATGTGAGTCCTCTGCAGGGCTGGTGGTTTGTGGAGGGAGGGATATATCTGACTAGGACCAATGGACTGAAGGGTAAGCATACATCTTACATGATGCATGGTTAAGAGAGTGTGGGACCAGGACACTACACCATGCCTCTGCAGTACCAAGATGCCCAGCCTTTCAACATGCTTTCTTCAGACTGCATTTTCCAGACTTGATATTTGTCACAGTGGAAGAAAACCCATTTTCATTTGGAAGAGAATAGAGAATAAGGAGTGGGTAGGCCATTTTAGAGTTTAGGGGCATCCATCTAACAGTGATGAACAAGGAACACAGGTGTGGTGGTGCACACCTTTAAACCATTATTCGGAGGCAGAGGCAGGGAGATCTGTATGAGTTTGAGGCAAGTCTGGTCTATACATCAAGTTCCAGGACAGCCAGGGATACATAACAGACCCTGTCTCAAGAAACAACCTAGCTGAGCTGGGTGGTGGCGGTGGCGCACACCTTTAATCCCAGCACTCGGGAGGCAGAGGCATGTGGATCTCAGTGGGTTCAAGGTCAGCCTGGTCTACAAAGCGAGTTCCAGGACAGACAAGGCAACAAAACTGGAAGGAAAAACTAGCATTCCAGCTGATTTCACAAATACAGTTCTACTTGTGTTTTAGCATCAATTCTTTGAGACTATAACACTCTTTCTCCAGTAAACAGGCAGATCTGCTCAGTCTCTCAGGGTGTTTTGTTTTGTTTTGTTTAGAATGCACATAAGAAATAACTGTATTCCTTGGAGTTATCAAAAAGTGGACAGCTATGCCACTTACTTAGGGGACAGTTTTCTGGGAACAGGCTGGGCGGGACAGGCTCCCTGCAGTGGGTCCTTGGGTTCCAGACACTGATCTGAATTTTTATGTCTCTGTCTTGGAATTTCCTGTAGAGCCAGAAACTGTATCTCCCAAATCAGATACCACATTGGCCACAGAGACAGCTATTGTGCCAGGCAACCGGCTGACGCCACCCCAATCAACTTCTGCAGGAACCACAGGGACAGGCAGTCATGAGTTCTCCCGAGGCCCATCTCTTGCAGCAACAATGACCTTGGAGCCTACGGCCTCCACTTCCCTCAGGATACCAGGTTAGCCCAAGCTTTGCAAAAGGACAGGCCAGTTCCCCACATACTGCTTCTGAGACCCAGGTTGGGCTCTTGCAGAAGAGTATCTGCATTAGCTTTGAAGCACGCGGGCTCAAGTCATAACTGACTGTGGCCCAGTGGCCTGCTGCCCACCATCATGCTTGAATGGTCTCTGCAATCCCCACTGAAAGGATAGCCAGGAAGGAAATTGCATTTCTCAGATATGGCGTGGCTTACTAATGTGCACGCCAGAGAACGGCAGGAGTATTTGACAGCGTGGAGATGTGGTCTGTGGCTAGAGAAGTCACTGGCAACTGTTCCTCTCTAAGGCATGTCCAATGCTTTGGTGTGACCAAACACCATAGCATGTTATCCTCCTCATTTTCGCTAAGATCAGTTTGGTTGCATCAGCTCCGTGTCTCTTCTGCTTCTATGATGGTAGTTATCTTCCCAGTTTCGTAAGAACCTGGTGCTCTCAGAACTCCAACCCTGACTCAGCTTTCCTCTCTCCTCTGCAGAGATTTCTCCAAACAGCTCCAAAATGACCAGAGGTGAGTATTTTCTTTTGTCTGGTGGTTTATAACCAGGGACTGTAAGACAGAACCAGAATGCCCAGAATGTTCGTCAGCCTGTTCTGGGCCACTCTAACAAGGTCACCAGCAGTATAGCTTTGCCTCTCTGAAATGTCTCCATCAGAGAATAACTTGTATAATACCCTGTTGATGGAATTTGTCATTGGACATGATTACATATCTTAAGATCTGTACCTTCTAACCATCACACTAGTGATGTACAAAGGTACACCCCAAAGAGCTTGATGGTTCAGCTACTCACAGGTAAGCCCCACAGGCTCCACTTGCATCCAGGGCATATTAGGAAACCACAGGGGCCCGCTGCTGCCACTAAGACAAGACAATGCCATTCTGCTGGAAGCTGCCTAGACCTCACAGCCTGGAGCACGACGCTCTGTTCAGAAAGAGTCCAGATTGCTCTGTCTAAATGTTTCTGTGGATAAAAGACATGGAGCATTGCAGTTAGAAGAAAAAGAAAGAGGCTGTACAATCAACACAGGGGGGAAACACAAAAGTGTCTGTGAAAAGGAGATCTTGGAGAAGAAGAAAAGAGCAGGAGAGAAGGGAGGGCAGGGTGCGGCTCAGTGCCAGTATGCTTGCTGGTCAAGGCCAAGCTCCATCTTCAGAGTCATAAAAAAAAGGGCGTGCGGTGCAGAGAGTAGGAATCTAACACTTCCTTCTGACAAGCTTTAAGAAGAACAAACAGCACTAGAGAGATGGCTCAGTGGTAAAGGGCACTTACTGCTCTTGCAGAGGACCAGAGTTCAGTTCCCAGCACCCCAGACAGCTCACAACCACTTGTAACTCCAGCTCCAGGGGATGCAACAGCCTTTTCTGGCCTGTGGGCACCTGTGTACTTGTGTGTATATACACACAAATGTAAATGCTTGCACACACACACATAAATTTTAAGAGAATAAAATATTCTGTCTTCCTTCCTTCCTTCCTTTTCCCTCCTTCCTTCCCTCCCTTCCTTTCTCTTTTTGGAGACAGTGTTTCTCTATGTAACAGCCCTGGCTGTCCTGAAACTTGGTGTATAGATCAGGCTGTCATTGAACTCACAGAAATCTGCCAGCCTCTGCCTCCCAAGTGCTGGGGTGAAAGACATGCGCCAACACTGTCCTGTTCTATTTTCTGTTTGTAAGTTTTCCTGCTGGAAAATAGCTCACTGGCTTTTTGGTTCTATTTTGCCTGCACTAAGTGACATCTGGGAATCAGATGTAGCTTTAGATATACTAGCAGTTTATTTGTTACAGTGGTTTTGTAAATGACCAAATGAAGACAGGCCTGATGATGAAGGTCTACATTTTCAGCTACTCAGGAGGCTGAAGCAGGAGGACTTCAAACTCAAGGCCAGCCTGGACAAGTCAGTGAAGCCCATATCAAATTTAAACTATGAAGAGGATGGGGATATAACAGCTCAGCAGTAGAGAGCACTTGCTCCATCCTCAGACTGCAAAATGAAAGAAATAGATAGTAGATAGGCAGGCAGATGGATAGACGGGTAGATAGATAGACAGACAGATGAAAGCACAACATCTTAGAAAGTCTCTTTGAAGAATATTTTATTGGAAAAACTCACTTAATGTCAAGGACATAAGCAAAAACATATTCATGATTTAAGAGAATTAGAGATTTATCAGAATTAGAAAAACTAATTTTTTCTCTATGACACATAGCCTGTTAATCTTTCCACATAGTCTTGAACTTTTTGTTTTCAAAATTCTTAATAAATTGCACACGGTCTGAAAATCAAAAATTAAACAGCATGGAGGCATATGTAAACCCAGCACTCAGAAGGCTAAGGCAGGAGGATTGCTTTGAGTTTAGGATCTGCCTGGGTTACATAGTGAATATCAAGATCATTATGACTACATAGCAACACCATTCCTGGAGACAGAGAGCAGGCTTCTTTGTCTCCTTTGGTTGGCTGTGTACAAATAAGCACACACAGGAGAAGTCTAAGGATAGATATTTCAAGTCTCATTGCTTACTGGCTGTCTTGATTTCCTTTTTGTTGCTGTGACAAAACACTCTACCCAAAACAACTTGGGTAGGAAAGGGCTTATTTGGCTTATACTTCCAGGTCACAGTCCATCACTGAGGGAAATCTGAGCAGAAACTCAAGCAGGAGCTTGAGGCAGAAGCCAAGGAGGAGTGCTGCTTGCTCATTCACTCTCTGGCTCGTGCTTCGCTAGCTTTCTTTAAAATTTTTTAAAATGTTTTTCTAAAAGACTACTTTCTATTATTTAAAAAGTTGTGTGCACTCACACACATATATGAAGGCAAGTGCTCTAGAAGGTCAGAGGCATCAGAACCTCCTGAAACTAGAGTTGCAGGCAACTGTGAGTCACCTAATGTGGATGCTGGGAACCAAACTCAGATCCTCCAAAAGAGCAGTATGTGCTCATAACTTCTGAACCATCACTCCAGTCCCATCAGCTAGCTTTCTGAAACAGCCAGGACCACCTGGCCATGGAGGAAATGGTTCTTTACACAGTGGGCTGGACCCCTACATCATCAGTTACCAATCAAAGAAATCCCCCATAGACATCCCTGCAGACCAACTTGGACTGGGGAATTTCTCAATACTGGGCTGTATCAGGTTGATGACGATGACGACAAGCACTCCCCAGGACACTGACATATCTTAGCAATCCTCCCTATCCACACATAAAAACCACCTTTCTCTCTTTAGTGGCTACAGAATAGTCTACTCCATATAGACCTGAGCACAATTTATTTAGCCAATCTCATCTTTGGACATGTGATTATTTACTGTCTTGAGTTACATTGCCAACAGTAACTACCTGGAAACTCGGGTGCAATTATATTTAGTGGATGAAAATCTACATGTAACATTTTCTATATAAAGCAATTTAGGATCTAATATGTACTTTTCCAATTCATGATTTTCATGACAAAGATAATTCAGTGCAAAGGCTTATGGGAAACACAAAGGTTTTTACATTTTAAATATTTCTTGATGTATAAATAAGGTGTTCTTCCTTAAATATAGACATGAGGATGCCTAATTATGAGAGAAGTCAAATTGTTAGCGAAGAAATGAAAATGGGATATTAAAGGATTTTTGTCTGCAAATAAAGTGTAAACTGAAATCATAATCAGTCTAGTTATGTAAAAGTATTTATGACGGTGTCTTCAAAGTTTGCCATTTACACGCCATCTACCCCAGCCACCCAAGATCTGCTAGTACCCCACCATCAGTTGCATATCACAGATGCTCACTGGCTCTTTGGACACAGGGTGAGGCGCTTTTTCTTCAAGAATAGACAATCAACTGAGCGCATCTCTGTAAGGCAATATTAAATTGCCAGCCACAGTGATTACTTAGTCAGTTAACTGATAATCAACCTACTGATATTTTGTTTTATTGTTTTTGTAGTTTTATGATGAGGGAACAAAGGGCATGCTAGACAAGTGCTCTTCACTGAGTTATATCCATAGTCTATAAAGTAAGTTATACAAAAGGTCCTTGCTTTTATGTTCTTTAAAAATTTTTATGTCTATGTTACGCATGTGTACCAGCCAGAATGTATGGAAGTGCAACTTGTGCATACAGGAACCTACAGAGGTCAAAAACAGGGCGTCAGATGCCACCCCTCTGGAACTGATTTTAAAGGATATTGGGGTTGGGAGATGACTCAGTGGGTAAAGGCAACTGCCATGCTAGTATGAGGACCTGAACTGCTGTGTGGGTTCTATGAACTGGACCCAGGTCCTTGGCAAGAGCGCTGTGTACTCTTACCACCCAGCCTCCTCTCCAGCCCCAGTTATCACATTTTTAAAAGTTGTTCTTGTTTATCTGTTTATTTTTGAGACAGGGTTTCTCTGTCTAGTCCTGGCTGTCCTGGAACTTGCTCTGTAAACCAGGCTAGCCTAGAACTCACAGAGATGCACCTGCCTCTGCCTCCCAAGTACTGGGATTAAAGGCGTGCACCACCACTATCCGCTTGTAAGTTGCTTCTTTTAATTCAACAAAAAACAGCCAATAGCTGATGCTCAATGCATACTGAATGAGTTAGCAAATGAGTACCAGAACTTAAAAACTTTAACATTTTAATAAATAGTGAATAAATGTGGTTTCCATTTTTATTATCAACTGGTTCACTTGACAGCCTCTCCTGCCAAGAACATACTCAGTTATTCCAGTATCTTCTCTCTGATCTTCTCCTAGGCTGTTATTGAAGACTCCTGATCTTATTTTTTAAATCTTCATTTGTGTGTGTGTGTGTGTGACACTCGTCACTTGTGGCATTGGATTCTCTCCTTCCACCATATGGTTCCCAGGGATTGAACACAAACTGTCAGGCTTGGCAGCAGGTATCTTTACCCACTGAGCTAATTTACCAGCCCAAGACTCCTGATTACAAAACTTAAGCCTTGCATGCCAACTGCACTAGCTCTTAGCTGTTGTAACTAGTTCACTAGGAGTGAAAAGGTTATTTTCCAGAATGTACTGTGCCTTGAGTCTTTTCCATGTGTGATAGGAGTTTGTTGTAGTTGATGTGCTCTGCATTTGATGAACTACACCTGTCATTCTGTCATTCATCTACTTGTCCAATGAACATTGCAATATTTACTAGCCATGGCCCTAAGCTGCTATGAAATACTTACTTCTGACTTTAAAAGATATTGGGGTTGGGAAGATGTCTCAGTGGGTAGAAGCAGTTACCAGGCAAGTGTAGGACCTGAGTTCGACTTTCAGAACCCATGCAAAGATGGGCATGGCAGCTCATGTCTGGGATGCCAGTGTTCCTAACGGGAGACAAGAAGCAGAGATGGGAGACCCCCTACAAAATCATGGGCCAGCCATCCTGACTTTACAGTAGAGAACAAGAAAGGGACCCTGTCTCAAAAAATGGTGGACAGGAGATCTGAGGTTGTCCTCTGACCTCCTCACATGTGTCCTCTGGCCTCCCACTATGATCCAAGCATGCCGATGTTCATACAAAAGAATGCTCTCTCTCTCTCTCTCTCTCTCTCTCTCTCTCTCTCTCTCTCTCTCTCTCTCTCTCTCTCTGTCTCTCTCAGAGAGAGAGATAACCATTTATCTACTTTTCAGTCCTAAGGATAGGACCTAGGGTCTGCTGTGTGGTAGACAAGTACTCTTAACTGCAATCTCATGCCCTGGGCTCAACTCTTCTTGTGAACCTAGGATAATAAGAGACAAAAAAGAACCCTCAGCCCAGGAGCCATGAGTAGACACTCTTCCTTCAGGACCTGACGCAGACTCACAGCAATGTCTTCCTGCAGGACTGGCTCTGTTGGCCTGAGTCCCACTAAGGAATCTGTTCCCTCTGCATTCACCCACAGCAATTTCATCACCCTCCATGAAGACTGGCACTGGCTGTCTCTGCAGCCGTCTCCATCTTAGTCCCAATCTACACCATGGACCAAAGAGGAAGAGGGACCAGTGGTCCTCATGGTCTCTTTATCATAATCATTTGTTCTCCTCCATCATCTCCTTCCTCCCTTCTTCTCTTTTCTGATATCAAATCTCTATTTCTTCCTTTTCCCTCCAGAAAGGATGGAGAACTTGCCAGATGATCTGTTATTTCCTTGTCTCCAGGAAGTCTGGTTTCAATTTCTCGCCCAACATAGCATAGACACAGTTGAAAAAGAAACTGAGTTAAGTCACCAGTTTCCTGACACATGTGGCCTGGGAGAATCCTTTCCTGATGATTCTGCAGTAGTTTATGTTCATTCAAAAGGCAACAGGAAAAGCATTGTGAAAGGAGAACTACTACTCACTACCATTAATTCCTCTTTTCCAGTAAGTCACTCCTTGGCAGTAAATGGATGCTAAGCCTACCAGCCAGCGTGGAAACAGTTTACATGCAACACATCTGAAAAAAATTCCAATCTGAGACTTCAAGACATCTTTCATTAATTTATTGTGTTTCCTAATGTTTTTGTAACAACTTTGGCATGCCGATTTTATTTACTTTCTGTAAAAATGTCTTCTTTCTGTGATCTTACTGCTTCCTCTGACTACAGTGTCATTTCAAAACTCTGAGGGCAACGAAAAAGAATTAGTTTTAGTGAAAGTAAAGATTGTCTAGTCTCATTAGTCATAATACTGTATACCTAACAGCCATTAGACTCAAGAGTTTTCTGTGCACCTGGCTGTGCCTTGTTGGAAATTACTTTGAATGTATTTTTGGTCAGCTTCCCTTTTTAGTTTACACATTTTAGATTTATTTTTACTGTTCTCAATTATATGGAAGGAGTATGTACATGTGAGTGCAGGTGCCCACAGAAGCCAGAAGAGGGCATCAAATCCCCTAGCGCTGTGGTATAGGCAGTGGTGAGTTGCCCAGCATGTATAGTGGGAACCAAACTTCCTTCTTCTGTAAAACAGAATGTGCTCTTGATTGCTGAGCTTCTCTCCAGCCCCAAGACACATTACTAACAGCAAGCTGACTAGAAGAGTATCTGTCCTAGGCAAGAATGGAAGCTACCAACAATTTACCAATTCTTGGCAATGAATGCCTTCATGGGACTTTCAAGAGGTTCTAGTTTAATTCTGTCTTTTTCAGTGGCCATCTCCACATCGGTCCTGGCCCTCCTGGTTGGTGCAGGAGTTGTGTCTCTCCTTGCCTGGTACATCAGATCAAGGTAAGTGGTACAGGAGAGCTGCAGGACCAAGTTCTTCCTCTCTACCAGAAAAGCTTGATCATAAAGATTCCAAGAGACCCTCTCAAAAGAGGAGTTCCTTTCCTGACTATGAATTCTCACACTCAGCCTCTTCTGTAGAGCTAGAAGGAGTCGTGTAAGACTGGGCCGGCTCTGAAGAGGGCGCTTCACGTCTCACACAGTTCTCAGACCATGTGTTTAAAATGGGGTCAGCAGGAACTGAGCCTATGATGCAGAGGGCCATACCTATGGCAATTTGTGTCAGCTCCATCCGTGAATACCCATGAATATATTCTCCGTGTATTCATCTCACATGGTATACCTTCTTATAAACACGCTTATGTCAGCCTTAATTCTATTTCTAGAAACAGAAATTCTCCTTCTCCTTCTTCTTCTTTTGGTTTTTTGAGACAGGGTTTCTCTGTATTGTTTTGGAGGCTGTCCTGAAACTTGCTCTGTAGACCAGGCTGGCTTTGAACTCACAGAGATCTGCCTACCTCTGCCTCCCAAGTGCTGGGATTAAAGGCGTACACCATCAATGCCCAGCAATTGTATCTTCTTAATGTGAGAAAGGCCTACAGTATTGGCTGCTCATTCAGAGTTATCTTGACGGTGATAAAATATGCATCATTAAGAATGGACCAAGATTTGTTCCAGCAACCTTGGTAAACTTCTGGTGGATGGATGGTGAGGTTGAAAATACCCAAATAGGATTAAAGTTCTTACTATCTGCACATCTGGGTATTCTAGGTTTTCCTAGTCTCTGAGCAACACAGATCTCTGAGAGCCGGGCTGGTGTCTGCTAATGTAACTCACTCAGTACTATGCATGCATGTTCTATAAGAAGTATGATGATCTAAGAGAGGCCCTGACCTTTTTTCAAAATCTGTGAATAAACTATTTTACAGGCAAACTTCTCAGCCACGTGGTGTTGAGATGGAAACCATGGAAGCAGTGCCAATGACTGTGAGCCCCAGTAGCAATGAGGACGACACAGAAGCCTAACCACATAACCTCTAAAACTCAGGGAAACCTGCAAAACTGAGTCTAAAAAGAAGACGTGAAGCCAGCTCTAGGTTAGCTAAGGAGCACCAGGACACAGGGAGCTGGGTACCAGGAGAAAGCTCGCCATGATAATATAAGGTCTGGGTGCCTCCCGTGTGCACACCTGAATTCTCTGGCATCTGGAAGGATAGCATCCTTCCACCTGCTCAGTGCAGAGACGATTATCCCAAAGTGCAAGCAGCCTGAGCTCTCCTGGCAGACTGTCCTGGCAGACCCTCGTGGTTCTCCAAAGAAGCATCTAACTTCACTTCAACATCGATTCAAAATAGCTTATCAGATAGGCCAGTGGGTCTCAATATATGTGTCATGACCCCTTTGGGGGATGTCAAACGACCCTTTCACAGGGGTCAAATATCAGACATCCTTCATATCAGATATTTACATTACGATTCATAATTACAGCAGCAAAATTGCAATTATGAAGTAGTACCGAGAATAATTTTGTGGTTGGGGGTCACCACAGCATGAGGAATTACATTAAGGGGACACAGCATTCAGAAGCCTGAGAACCACTGTGTTAGACTCTCTTCTTTGTCCCCTACCCTGATTTACAGTTTACAGAACTTAGCAACAATACACCTGAGGCTCTCACTTCATTCCAAGGCTCCTCTGGCTCAGGAGATGCCTACAAAGAAGACAGCAGCACTTGAGCTCCTGAAGACTTGGCTGTCACTGCTTTGCAGCTATTGCAGAAGAGCAGAGAAAAGCAGAAGAGATACTGAGCCAATGAATCCTTTGGATAGGATTTATGACAAAAAACCCAAACTCAGTGACCTTTTACATTTATATTTATACTTTCTTTTGTATTATATCTACATATAGTATATGATTTATATTTGAAAGTACCTGGATAGACAAAATAAAATATCTATTTTCATTACAAAAATGCATTAAAATTACCAACAAAGAGGAATGTTCCACAAAGGGAAAAAGGAGAAAAGATATAAGATATCTAATGTGATTAAGCTCAGGTTTTCTTTAAAAAATAAATAGGAGTGGGAACAGCCTTTGCTTAGAGCTGGCACAGATCCTAGCTTTGGTGGGATAGTCACCCAAATTTCACGGTGAGTAGAAGCAATATAATCTGAATAGTGGCAAGGCTGAGCTTGACTAGCACAGGATGCAGGCAGATCCCTGCCCTGTCTCTCTCCTGTTTATGACAACTATTTCTAAAATCATAGGACAAATTCCACCTTTCATTCTATTAATTTATTATTATTATTTATCTATTGCAATGGATAAAAAGAGGGTGTCACTCTACCACTGAGTCATATCCCCAATCTTCTACCTCCTAAATTTACAGATAAAAAAATTATAGCCTGGAGAAGTTGACCTGCCCAAAGTCACATAGTTCAACTAATGCCACCACTTGGACAGAACTGGGGTAGAAGTGGTGTTGGGGGAGGAGCCCTGATTGTGAGTTCGCTATAAGCATCAGGAGGTAGGTTAAGCTCCTGGTTCACAAGCTGCCAGATCCCCACTGCCTTCTGCCAGCCATAAATTTCTGTGGTTTCTTTCATCAAAACTCATGGAAGCCTTTCCATATAGCTCATTTGGGCTTCCTCACAGCATGGTGGTGTCTGTCTTTGTCAGACTGTTTACATGGTAACCAAAACAAAGTAGAAAATGTCAGTCCCTTCAAGTAGGTAGCCCAGAAACAGACCTGTATAACTTTTGCTATGTATTAGCCAAAACAAGTCACACACTACCCAGAGTCGAGGCAAAGAAATGACAAAAAGCGAAAGAAAGCATCTATCTTTGACAACCAGCTGCCACACTTTAGGAGATAGCCAGGAAAGAATAATTTCCTTTAGCTCTCAGCTCTTACTCAATGCCAGTAAGTATGAGTTGAATGGATGAGAGCATAATGATCAGGTATTGAGCTAGATGTCCACTTTTGTTTGCTTGCTTTGTTGTTTTTCGAGACAGGGTATCTCTGTGTAGCCTTGGCTGTCCTGGAGCTCCCTCTGTAAACAGGGCTGGCCTTGAACTCTCAAATATCACTTTCCTCTGCCTTGTGAGTGCTGGGATTAAAAGCGTGTACCACCACTGCCCAGCTGAGACAGCCATTTTTAATATTTAGTTTGGAATGGAGAGATACACAGAACTCTGAAGGACTTGAAAATGGTATAGCTATTAACCCTTCATCCCAGGTGACTTTCACTGGCTACAAATCTAATGTACAGTTACCTCTTCCCCCATTACTTGCCCTCTACAGGATTAGCCATGAAAAAACACATTGATAGTTCATCATCACTTCTATTTTGTCTTGATGCAGGACTTAAACTCTTTTGCATCTTTTCTAGCTTCCTTTCAGATGCAGGAGGGTAGTGAGAACAGGAAACAAAAGACACACTTTTAAGCTGGGTGTTGGTGGCTCACACCTTTAATCCCAGCACTCGGGAGGCAAAGGCAGGTATATCTCTGTGAGTTCAAGGCCAGCCTGGTCTACAGAGCGAGTTCCAGGACAGCCTCCAAAACAATACAGAGAAACCCTGCCTCGAAAAACCAAAAAAAAAAAGACATACTCCTTTAGATTCATTGTATGTGAATGACTATTCTGTCTGTGTGTACATCTGTGCACCACACGTGTACCTAATGACAGAGGTCAGAGAAGGGCATCGGGTTCCTGAACTGGAAATACCGAACTGGAATTACTGACAGTTGTGAGTTGCCCTGTGTGTTCTGGGACTGAACTTACATCCTCTGAATGAACAGCCAGTACTTATACTGCTTAGCCACTTCATCAGCCCCACAGAAAACGCATAGAACGATCCTCAAGATTCTAATTACCCACTCTACTCTTCCATTGAGGGATCATTTAGTATTGCCTAAGATTGCCCTATTCTAACCTGTAAAAGTCAAACAAAGTAGCTTAGATTATTGAGTGTGCCTGTTTTCTGTTCCTTAGGTTTGTGCTCCGTTGAGGCAAGAAAGGCTCAGTCCAAACCAACCTCTCTCACACTCCCTGACCTGTGTTAGAATTCAATGTGAGGATATTGTTTTAAGTATTAACTCATACAGTGCTGTCTTATGGAAGAATTTTTATGGGTCTGGAGTCATTCAGAGATTTACTAGTCTGACTATGAGTATATTTTAATAAAGAAGAGGCTTATATTCAGATACTGGTGCCAGGGCTACACCCAGGACTTGAGATTCCCAAATGTAGCACAGAGCCCCCATTTAATCAGTGATTAAAAAAAAAAAACCCAGCCAGGCAGTGGTGATGAATGCCTTTAATCCCAGCACTTGAGAGGCAGACACAGGTAGATCTCTGAATTTGAGGTCAGTCTGGTCTATAGAGTCCCAGGACAACCAGGGTTACATTGAGAAACTCTGTCTCAAATAAATAAAAAGTTAAATAGCTAAAATATAAATAAGCAATAAAGGAAAAAACAAAAATACAAGGTTATGTTCTGTTTACATGCATCAAGGGCTCAGTTTAGCAAACATGTCTTGCAGGTGTCTTGTTTATCTCAAAAGAGTCCCAGGACAACCAGGGTTACATAGAGAAACTCTGTCTCAAATAAATAAAAAGTTAAATAGTTAAAATATAAATAAACAATAAAGGAAAAAACAAAAATACAAGGTTATGTTCTGTTTACATGCATCAAGGGCTCAGTTTAGCAAACATGTCTTGCAGGTGTCTTGTTTATCTCAAGCAAGCAAGCTTTGTTTACAGAAACAGAAGCAGCAGTACTACAACTTTCACAAACAAGGACAGGCAATTACAAGAAAAGTTCCCAGCATTCCAAGAAGTTATCTGTCCTTGGGCAAGTAGGACTTACAGGTTAGAGGCAATTTTGTTTTATAGGCCTTTTAATTAAACTTAAAACATAATGTTAGCTATCACAGAATCCACTTTACTATTTCCTTCCCTAAGTGCCTGACTTACATTCTACTTCTGTTTATAGTCAAGGTGTAAAATCCCCTCCTCACCAATTCTGGGTGAATTTGAGGGGCCCAGTAAAAAAAAAAAAAAAAGCAAAATGGCTGTTCCAAGGGTGAAAGAGGAAAAGTATATTCTAAGTTGTCTCTTGGAAAAACATAGAGAAGCATGAGGAGGACAAATCTTGAGGGTCATAAGGAAAATAGGTATCTGTGTGAAAGGGAGCTTGTGAGCAAGAGAGGCTTTGAAGCGAGTAGGGGCTGAGGGAGCCTGGAGGCTAGCATGGGTCAAATGGACATCAAGAGATGGATACCAAAGGCATATGTTAATGGGGGAGCCATATGTCCTTTGATCAGAGCTAAAGGAAATGACTTCATTTGGCATTGGGAAACAATTTCACAAGTTCCTGAGGAATGCTGGCTTTTCTCTAACAGCCGGAAATTCTCCTCCTATAGTGCAGGCTGAGCTAATTTCTTGACATTTGAACTGCCTTTTGGAGTTTGGGGAATTGGAATTTCCTTTCAACCTGATACTGGGGAACCTCCACATTGTTGGAGTTCCTCATTGCCTACTAATATAAAGACCAGCTGCTCCCTGGCCTAAGGCACCTTGACTAGGTCCTATCAGAGCATCTCATTGAATATGGAGTGAATGCAATACAGCAGAATGTGTCCAGCAATGGCCTTACTACCAATGAACTGGCTGAGGTTGTTTCAGTCTATCAGATTTGTGTGGCTTGAAGGACAATGATCCCCCCATAGGGTTATATATTTGAAGATAGTACCAAGAGTGGATAGTGCTGTAACACACCTAACAATGCTTTTTGTTGCTGTTGTTGTTGTTGTTGACTTTTTTTTTGTTTGGTTGTTTGGTTTGATTTGTTGAGGAATGTGGAAGACTTTGGGACTATGAACTAAGAAAGAACATTATAAGTGGGCTTAATGGGTCATTGTAGTAGATCTTGGGAGACAGTAGTGCTGAAAACAATGTCAAATGTGGAGGTCCAGCTCAAGAGATTTCAGGGGGGAACAATAATAGCAACTGGGCTAGAACCCATTTTTGTGATATTCTGGCAAAGAATATGATTGCTTTTTGCCCTTGTCCTATTAATCTGCCTGAGGCTGAATTGAAGAGTTTTGGACTAATTTCATTGTCAGAGGAGGTTTCAAGACAGCCTAATATTGATTTTATCACTTGACTATTAGTAATCTCTCCTATGCAGATCTACAATGAAGGGAAATTAAAAAGAAAACCACAAAATGTACAATAAGCAGAGTAACAGGAAATTCAATGTTGGAGCCATGACATGGACTGGAACACATAGGAAAAATGAGATAAAGGGCATGGTGTCCTCAGGATGAGAGCCCAGTCAGCTAATTCTGCAAGTTGTGAAAAGACCTAAGGGATTAGCTCTTCCTACAGGGGGAAAAAACCCAAACCAAAGTCCATGTAAATGTAATCAAGGGTGGGGACAGGCTCTTTCCCAAATAGGCAACAGAACCTTGCAGCCTTGGCTGTGTTCTATTTTTA